TTAGAGATAGTGCTGAATTTAATGAGTGGATGAACGAAGAAGACTACGAGATATCTGATTCAAAATTGACTGTTGAAGAACAATCTGGTATTTCAGAATCAGAAGCTTCACCATCACACAAACGAACCTTGGATTCTTTAGAATCACCTTCGAACATGGATGTTGATGTTCGCCCAACAACTGATGCCAAGCGTCCGAGATTAAGATCACCAGACCATGACGCCGTACCAGAACACCCAAATATGTCACTTGTAGATATTGAACAAGAAGCATCACGTGTAGGAGGAATTCGTACGAGGAAAAACGAATTTGATCCCGTAATTGGTGGGGAAATTTCGAATATTTCACAATTAGTTCCACCAGAAAGAACTACCAAGGAAGATACACAGCAGGATCTTGAAGATCCTGAAGCTATAGACGAGAATGTAGACACAGATAATGTAACGTCAGACATGGAAGGTGTTCGAATTCCCGCAAACAATAATAGTAAGATTTTTCAAATATATAATTCTTATAAAAATAAATCATTATTGTTATTATTTTACGAAAATACTTATACGTTTTTACTTAGACATTGACGTTGAGATGACCGAACAAGAGCAAAATAATATGTCCAGTGGACGTACCGAGCATAAAGTTTCGCCTAATTCTGCAGCAAAAGAGTTGGACGAAGACGAAAACATGACAACTACAGACGATAACAGGCAGATAGAAGATGATGCGAATGAACCTTTATCTGATACCGTTATCCCACAAGAGGTCCTTTCTGCCAATGATGAAGACGAAAAGAAAAGACTTGAAGAAGAGGCCCGTAAATATTTATCAGAACAAACACAAGAAATTGTGATTCCTTCGTACTCTGCGTGGTTCAATATGTCAACCGTTCATCCTATTGAGAAAAAATCCTTGCCAGAGTTTTTCAATAACAGAAACAAATCGAAAAATCCCAGTATATACAAAGAATATAGAGATTTTATAATAAATACTTATCGCCTCAATCCTGGAGAATATCTGACAGTCACAGCCTGTCGTAGGAATTTGGCTGGTGATGTGTGTGCGGTTATTCGTTTACATGCTTTTTTAGAACAATGGGGTTTAATTAATTATCAAGTAAGTCATTTTTATTGATTTTCACATATGAGGTTATACTTAACTAGTAATTCTGTTTAAAATTAATTTAGGTTGATCCAGATACCCGACCATCCCCAGTTGGGCCTTCTTTTACAGGACATTTTCGTATCACAGCAGATACACCAAGAGGACTTCAACCTTTTCAACCACTTGGACCTTCGGCTGCCTTATCGAGTTCTGTTGCGACCACGTCTACAGTTAACACAGCAGTTGGTATCACTACTGAATCATCTGTTACTGCAAATCTAAAAGTAGATAAAGTTTTTGGTCTTCGCCAAAATGTTTATCAATCCGGAATGAATACAGCTGCCACTCCGGGCTCACAAGATGAAACTGGTAGTGTTGCTGCTGATTCAGGATCAAATGAACAAAAACAATACAATTGTGTTACATGTGGTGTTAGCTGTAATCGTGTTCGTTATCACAGTGTAAAGACTCAAAATTTTGAATTATGTCCAAATTGTTATTTGGAAGGACGATACCCTACATCAATGTATAGTGGTGACTTTTTGAAAATGGAGGAAACACCGTTCAAGCACGCACAAGATGATGACTGGACAGAGCAAGAAAATTTAAGCCTTTTAGAAGGTGTAGAGTTATATGAAGATGATTGGAATAAAATTTCTGAACATGTTGGCACTCGAACTCGGGAGCAATGTATTTTACACTTTTTGGAATTCCCAATTGAAGATCCTCTTAATGAAACTAAAATGTCAGATCTGGGACCACTTCAGTATCAACGTATACCTTTTAGTCAAGCGGATAATCCTGTTATGTCAGTGGTTGCTTTCTTAGCGTCAGTAGTTAATCCAGGCGTCGCAGCAGCAGCAGCAAAGTCTGCGTTGAAAGAACTATCCATTCACAACAAAAAATCTGCAAACAAAGAAATAAATGGCGTCAACGGAATAAGATCCGGTGATCCAAGTGAAACAGCTGCAAGTACACCAATGAATGATGTTAAAAATAATGATGAAATGGATACAGAAGGAGCAACTGAGCTGAAACCAGATCCAGAACAGACTCCAGAAGAAGCAACGACCTCTGATTCTACTGTTCCTCGTCCAAAATTATTAGAAAGAGCTGGAGCAACAGCAATGGGAGCGGCAGCTGCGAAGGCAAAAGTACTTGCAGACTATGAAGAACGAGAAATTCAACGCCTTGTCAACGCAGTCATTGAAAACCAGTTGAAAAAGCTTGAGCTTAAACTTCAGCAATTTGAAGAATTAGAAAATGCACTTGAGAACGAAAAGAAAGAACTAGAGAAACAACGTCAATTATTGTACAATGAACGTTTAGCATTCAAAAAAAACACTATAATGATGCAGGAGCAATTAAGAAATGCACAAGCTGGCAATAGCGGACCAAAACCTTCAACAAGTGGGCATGGTTATCTAAATTCAAGCAATAGTCGGATTATATCAAAGATTGAATTTCAACAGCAACAGCAGATTCGTCAACCAGTCGGACCATTAAGTCAAGAGCAAGGAAACGAGGATCCTGTTCTGATGAACATTTAAGGATGGTAAAGTTAGGTTAGGTTTGGGTTAAGTTCTAAAACCTTTAAGCTTCATATTAAAAATATAAGAACCTAAACCCAGTTTGGTTTAGGACCAATATTTAGAATCTGATTCTCAATATTTTGTAAGACATAAAAAATAAAAATATATCAATAAAAAGTTACTTAATTCATTATCAAGCTTTTATATGCTAATATTATATGCTAATATTGATTTATCTAATAAAAAAATTTGACTTTTATAAAGTAAAATTGAGTAAGTGGCTAAAGTGGCAGATCATATGATATTGAAGTTAACACAAGGTCTACCAAATAGTCTAATGATTTTAATACCATGCCATTTGTCTCAACGAGATGATTCGAAAGATTAAATAATCATATAATGAACTTTTAATTCTCCAACACTTTACATAAAATTATTAGATACTAATAAATGCCATGCACATCCATAATACCTTATCTGTTATGTAGTGATTAATAAAATACATGGTACAAATTTGGGACTTAGTGTCAAATACACACACTCTGCACTCTGCATGTGTGTGAGATTTTACAGTCGGACTTATACGTGCATTCTTTAAACAAAAAATTATTAGTAATTCGAAATTTTGTATATATGTACGTACGTACGTACGTACTTACGTATACGTAATCACTTTTTTACTAAATTTTAATACGAAATAACGTGCCGGCCTAAATTAAGCTTAATTCGAGCAATTATTCTAAATAACGCCCCATGCCCGTTATTTCAAACCTAAAAAATTTCACTGGCCAATCAGATTTCAAGATCAGGTGTGACGCAGAAGAAACGCAAAAAATCAAAAAATTGCTTATAACTCAACATTTTATCTATGAAACCACCTTTTGCGCACTAACAAAAAGTTTTCCTTGCGGAATTTTGGTATTACTGAAGTTTTTCTAACCTAACTTAATAGCAAAGCCTAACCTTAATCTAATAACGAAATTTTTTTAGCGAAATTTTTTAGGTTGGTAACGCTATTTCACGACAATATGGTATAATTTAATATCAACCCCGTTGATATCAACCTAAACTATAAAATGAATTTCTATATATTAAAGTTAGATTAAAATTCCCTCATATATATCAATTTTAATATGATCCCTCATTAATATCACTATCAACATGAATATAAAAGCGATCCAAATGGGTTGATATAAATGAGGGACGACTGTATTACTTGCAAAAAATATAGCGATAATAAATATAACCTTTAAATAGAATTTTTAAATAGATAATAACTAAAGTTATACCAATAAAGTTATACCAATACGTATCTATAGTTATTTACATTAGGGGGTTTCAAAGTTAACTAATTTTGACAGAAATAGGTAACATAAATATTTAGTTTCAAATGAGCGATGTATCAACTTTATTTCATTTTCCAATAAATGTTGAAAAGCTTATTTATTCCGTTATATAAATACGTATGCTTATTTCATTTTCCGATTTTAAAATTTTGAAATGAAAATAAGATTTTTCAAGTTAACTAATTAAAATCCCGATATAGTAAAGTTCAAAGCCAGTCTATACGTATAAAATTCTCAATATAAAATATATATAATATTATTTTTAAATAAAATTAATACATACGTTGTACAATGTAAAAAAAAAAAAAATTTAAATTTATATAAATTTATAGTAATTATTAGCATTTATAAAAATATAAAGTTTCTTTTTTAAAAAACATTAAAAAACAAAATAAAATAAAAAATAAATATTTTAAATTTGAAAGGATTGTCTTGCACTATTGGTATAATCACTAGTGCAAATATTTAAAAGTTTACGGCATGAACCCTAAAAATA